GCTGTCCACCAGGTCGCCCTGCGAGCTCAGCACGCGCATGGGCGCGTTGCGCCACACGCAGAACTGGGGGGTGCTTTGGTATGTGCTTTTGTGCTTTTGGTTTTCGGTTGGCTTGATGCCTCCCAAAGCTGCACTGCTCCAGTGAACCCAGCACGTCCATACCGAGTTTTCTGTGGTCGGACCTTGTGTACTGATAAAACTTGGCCTCGACCATGTTTTACTCAAAGCCTATGTTTTACTGGCGGCCCATTGTCGCTCAAGCTGCCAAACACCGGCCTGTATACATATATATAGTCTATACTATGCAAATATAGAGCGCGCCCCTTCCCACGCCAATCCTCCTCTCCAGAAGAAAAATGAAAAGGAGGGTTTGTGTAGTTCCCTCCCCCTCCCCCTCCACCCCCTACTTTAGTAGGGCGGCTGAAGTGTCAGCTCTTGAACACTCTTTGCTTGGGCGCTCACTGCAGCAAATAAACAAAAAAATAGGGATTGTATCCCCTTTTTGGGATGTTTTTAAAAGGAGGATCAGGATGAGACAGTGCTGTCATCTACTCACGCTCGCGCGCGGGGCGCCCTGCGTAGCGGAGCACCCCCCAGACCCGGGCTTAAGAGTGTGATGTATAGATTGTCGAGCCACCTCTTTTTTAAAAAATGCCTATGTTGGACTATGTCAACCATGTTAATCCCTTTTTGTTTGGGCTTTCAAGTTGACATTTAAGTTTGCAAAAAAAACATTCCATTTTTGAACCAGTCGCTTTGCCTAAGCCGAGCTTACTCGTTGAAAAGTTCAGATTCTGCAGCTGGCAAACTTCAAGCAATTCTACACTGCCCCACTTGATTTTCCACGATTTCATTTTCACTTGTTCAGAGTCAAGCCAACATGCGTCATAAGACATATGAATTCAACACGCTGACGCAATCCACCATGATTTCTCCGCCGGTCGGGCCCCACGCGCGCCATTGCCACTCGGCTGCATTCAGGGTGGGGGGGGGCAGGGCGGACAAACAACTGGGATCTTATGGATTGTTTATTTTTTGGGGGAAGACCCTTCGCACACCCGAATTGGTGCTGTATGGCGCCAGCGCTGGTGCCTGGTAAGCGTCGGGCTGGTGCTGGGCATGAAGCGCCAGCTGATGGTGCTGTGTAAGCGTCATCGCTTGGTGCTGCACAAGCGCCAGCAGATGGTGCTGGGTAAGCGCCATCTGCTTGGCGCTGCATAAGCGCCAGTGCATGGACATCATGGAACCAGCAATTATTTTTGGGGACATCGTGGAACTAACGTCATGGAACATGAAACATCATTTGTTAGCGCTTTTTCAGCACTCATCTTAAGTATTGATACAGTCAGTTTCGAACGCAACCAAACTTGATGGCAGTGGGAACCAGAATGCAAAACAACGAAATCATTTGCAATCCAAGACATTGAAGTGAAGTTTGCAATACCAGGGGATGCGCATCTTGATTTTCAGCTCAAGAAGTAATTACATAGAATTGGGGGGCGCGTCCGCAGCACCATGCCATTTCTTTATGCCATTTCTTTAGAAGAAAAAACAGATGTTCGTAAACACACGCTTACTTACCATCAACCCATTTGAGGATGATTGAACAACTGTTTGGTATGGAGGATTGAACAAATTTGACGTTGAAGCGGTTGGCCAAGAGAGGAGCCGAAGACCCTTCATTGAGGCAACTATTCACAGTACGCGAACCCTATTCTTAGAACCAACTTGTATGTTCATGAACCCTTGAATTTTCATCATTGCGTGCCATGTGAAGGGCGCAGCCCGTGCATACATACATGATTGCGGGGCCGTTGTCATTGATTGACATGGGTCATTCGTACAGTCATTATAGAAAACATGCCCATCTTAACCCAAACAAGATCCAAAAACCTGCATTTTTGGGGAGTGTCAAAGGTCCCATCCAGCGACCCGTCCCGGATTTTGGCACTCATCTTGAGGGGTTGCCATCTGGCACCCCCGTGAGGGTGCCAGATTTGGAAAGATTTCTGTCTGTTAGTGAACTGTCAAACCAGTTCATATTTTGGTGCAATCCACAAGTTGGGCACAAATGCAGCTTTTAATATGGGAAAGACACCTTGTCCAGATCAAGAAATCCACATGTTTGAGGCTTCCGTGGACCTAGGCATGAATAACCCTGCAAAAATCAGAACCCCAAAAAGGTCCATGGTAGTTCGAGGGTGAAAAACCCTGCATTTTTGAGGCTTTTGTGGACCCAGGGCTAAATAACCTTGCAAAAACCATGGGATTTTGGCAAAGCTTAAAATAGTCTTCGGGGGCCGCCTTTTTGGCACTCATCTTGAGGGGTTGCCATCTGGCACCCCCGTGAGGGTGCCAGATTTGGAAAGATTTCTGTCTGTTAGTGAACTGTCAAACCGGTTCATCTTTTGGTGCAATCCACAAGTTGGGCACAAATGCAGCTTTTAATATGGGAAAGACACCTTGTCCAGATCAAGAAATCCACATGTTTGAGGCTTCCGTGGACCTAGGCATGAATAACCCTGCAAAAATCAGAACCCCAAAAAGGTCCATGGTAGTTCGAGGGTGAAAAACCCTGCATTTTTGAGGCTTTTGTGGACCCAGGGCTAAATAACCTTGCAAAAACCATGGGATTTTGGCAAAGCTTAAAATAGTCTTCGGGGGCCGCCTTTAGACCCAAAAGGCGGCCGGGTTACAAACAGCTTCCCGCATCCATTGCCGCAAAAAAAATGGCAAACAGTTGTTTTTTTTGGATGCCTTTCCACGCCCTCCTCACGCCCAAACTCCGTCTCCAGACCGGGCCCAATTCAAGCCTCAGGCCCAAGCCTCAAAGCGGTCCGTCTCCAGAATTCAAGCCTCAGGTCCAAGCCTCAGGGCGGTCGTGTGGTCTCATGCGGATTTGACGCTTTCAGGTCCACACGCAGGTGCTGAAGAAGCGCCCCCATTCAAACAAATCGTGAGATTAATTAGCCCGAAATGACAGCTTGCTGCAGTTACGGGGCCAAGCGTGTTGCGTGATGGCAAAATGAAAAATGACCGCAATATGTTTTTTGGAGCATCCTGTTACTTTGTGTTCCGGCCCCCCACAGTGCTACTGTTTAGCAATGGCGGCTTGTTCCACTGGCGCAGCGCCAACTGTTGCCCTGGTTCTTCGCCCTGAGTGGGCGCAGAAGGTCTTGGATGGCAGCAAGACACTTGAGCTGAGGGGTTCCGCAACAACAAAGAGATGCAAGGTGGCCGTCGCTGTGTCTGGGACCGGCTGTTTGGCCGGAGAGGTTCGGATTACCGACTGCATTTTGATTGCCGAGCGCAACAACGAGACCGGACTCTACGAGGATTGTGCGCCATATAGCCTCCGTGGATTGGCTCACCAGCACCATGTGGACAACCCCGAGGAGGTTCTCAAGTACCAGAAGGTTTTTGGATGGGTTCTGGAGGAGGCCCGGCCGTATGAATTTCCGGAGAGCTACAGGCACGCAGCCGGCGCCATTGGGTGGGTTCGACTTGACGGCCCAGCCCCAACGAAAAGGCCAACGGCCGGGGTCAAGCGGTCTCAGAAGCGTCAGTAACCGCAGCTGGCCACAAGACTGCCATGCCGGGCAATTGACAAAGAGGGAAAATATCAGATAGCTCGGATCGGTGGATTGCAGCGGCATGTTGATGATTTTTAGAGTATTGTGTGTATGCTTGGTTTCTAAAAAAATCACTGTGCTGAGGAAGCGCTTCATAGTGCTGTGGAAGCGCTCCGCAGTGCTGAGGAAGCGCTCCGCTCGAACCACTCTGCGCCGAGGGCAAACCTTGCTTCTGGCCCAGGTTTTCACGACGTACTTGTCGCCGAAGCGCCGTCCCCAGTTCGATCACTTTCGGTTTTGGTGCATGGGTCCGCCGGGTTGCTGGATAATAAGCGCCAAATGATGGCTACGAGAGTTTGACCTTCAACTGCGTGCTTCCGTTGAAACTCAGCTTGTTCAACGGAGTGCTTCCTGATAGTACCTATTTCAAAGAGAAGTGCCAAGGTGCCATGGACATGAACACATATATATATATATATATAGAGGCATTTCTTTTGTGCTGTCCGGTTGAACGATGGATTGTGCCAGAAAAAACACTCAGAGCGACTTTTCATACTGCAAGAACACCCTGCAGTGCTGAAAACACATGTCTGACGCTAAATCCAAAATGATCCAGCCGTGGTGTGCTGAAGAAGCGCCCATCAACCAAGGTTTATTTTTTTTATTGGTATAAGTATATAGTTTTAGTTGGTTGTGGATCCAACTGATGATTGTCCCCTTGTTGTTGCGGCTGATGGGTATGGACTGATAGCTGTCGTGGGCGCTTAGGTTCCGATTCTGGCGCGTGGCTTGGCTTGCCGTCTTTGGAGCGCTTGACTCAGCCGGGAAAGTGTTGAAGGAAGGGTTCTTCCCCTTTAGTCATGAAACATGTGGATAGAGTGCTGCAAGAGCGCCAAGTCAAACGTTTCTGGGTGCTGCAAAAGCGCCAGTTCAAGCATTCCTGGGTGCTGCAAAAGCGCCAGTTCAAACCATTCCTGGGTGCTGCAAAAGCGCCAGCTCAAAGCATGTCACTGTGGCGGGTGGTTAGCTGGTCCCACTGTTGTGAAAGTCCATTTGCTTCTTGTAATTATTGTAGCCACAAGTCTCAAGAACCTCTTGGAAACCATGTTTCTAAAGGGTGATCCCCCATTCTCCAACAGCAGGCACCACTGTTGCGTCACACAGGGATTCCTTAGTCCTGCGTCCCCTTTGTTGTAGAATGTTGAAACAGCGCAGCTCAGCCTAACCTTTCTATTGCGGGCCACGGCCTTCGTCCACTTGGGTATGGATTGTTCCGCGGTGATCTGGATCTCTGGATCGGTGAAGGTGGGCTGAATCAGTCATCCCACGCCTGCGATCTTGAAGATGCATCTCTGCGACGCCCATCTGAATTGATGCGTCCGCCAGCGTGTCCCAACGCATTGAGCAATCTTGGTCTACGAGGGCCGCCTCCAGCAATGAGGTCCATGTCAGCCCTGGCGAACTTGAGCATCAGAAGGTGCACGCGGATCTCTGTGAGCGACAGCGCCTGCGTATTCGATGCAGTGCTACTCCGATCGCGCGTGGCCAGCAAGATGTCGCCATGGGCGATGTCGACGCCGTTGTTCAGACCGGCCAGCAGGTAGCCCACGATGGCTAGGGATCGGCCTAGCGTTCTGCACGTGGTCGTGTCATCGCAAATGGCCGCGAGCAACTCGAGGGCGTCGATGATGTTGGAGAGTCGGTCTGCCAGGCGGCCATCCCGCAGAGCCGTTTGCGCCGCCTCCCGCCATCCCACCGCCTCCACCGCCGTAAGATCCACTACGTTCCGCTCTGCGGCCACGGCGCTGGCTGGCTGACGCGAAATGCAAACGTGAGGCGCAGTGGAGTGAGGTGAAGTGAAGCGAAGTGTGTGTGTGTGTGACGTTAAGTGAAGTAAAGCAAAGTGATCGCGGGTGTTGCGGAGTGGAAATGCATGTGTGAGTCCATCTAAATCAGTTCAGTTCCTGAAAATGCACACCGAATGCCACAACCACTGCCAGGTTCAGTTCAACAGTTCGGTCATGCTGGGGCCTGATTTGTGGAGACATAGTGCAAAACCAATGTCCCAAGCAAGTCTTGTTTATGGAGAACGGTGTAACCCATGGTATAGGATTTCTCCTGTTTGTTGGAATTCTGGGTTTTTTTGGGAAAGACAACTGTATCATTGTAATATTTTGCGAAGTTGACGCATTCGGGTCAAACGGGAGGGTCAGAAGCATGCCCACAAAGTAGGGGGGTGGTTCACAGTGTTTGCAGGGGTTGCTTACACATGTCTGACGCTAAATCCAAAACGATCCAGCCGTGGTGTGCTGAAAAAGCGCCCATCAACTAAGGTTTATCTTCTTTTTTTATTGGTATAAGTATATAGTTTTAGTTGGTTGTGGATCCAACTGATGATTGTCCCCTTGTTGTTGCGGCTGATGGGTATGGATTGATTGCCGTCGTGGGCGCTTGGGTTCCGATTCTGGCGCATGGCTTTGTTTGCCGTGACTCAGCCGGGAAAGTGTTGAAGGAAGGGTTCTTCCCCTTTAGTCATGAAACATGTGGATAGAGTGCTGCAAGAGCGCCAAGTCAAACGTTTCTGGGTGCTGCAAAAGCGCCAGTTCAAGCATTCCTGGGTGCTGCAAAAGCGCCAGTTCAAAGCATTCCTGAGCGCTGCAAATCGCTAGTCCCAAGCTCATTTGCCATTCTATGGCTGCAGCCCTTTTGGGATTACTTACGTTATTCGTTTCACATCATCTCTCACCGGCGGGGCCATGGCGGAGTTGGTCGAATCGCATATTCAGCATGTGAAGTCCTGCAAATCAGACTCTTGTTTTCGCTGTTTGTACATTCGAAACATGAAGCATTGGAAGAAGAGGCTTCCTTGGCTTGCTGATCGCTTGTGGAAGGATCCCAACAATGAGAATGAACTCACCTGGGGCCTCGGTTGCCAGCTTTGCATCAAAGCTGGCTTGGACACTTCTTCAAATTTCGCCAGCGCTGGATTCGATGGTCGCGGGGGATTCAACAGTGTGAGACGGCATGCCAAAAGCAAAGCTCACGAAAATGCATTGAGAATCCTTTCGTGTGGGAATGGCTCTGCTGATCATCAGGGTGCGCCAAGTCCAGAGCAGTTTGCTCAGTTTATGGTGGAAAGACTTTCGGAGCAATTAGCTTCCTTATTTTTTCGGTTCCGGTCAGCCCACTTACCGATTTGAATTTCAGGTCATTTTTTGTCAGCTCATGTGCTTGTCTCCTTCAGGAATGAAACATACGTCGTTGAATTTTCACATTCCTGGGCTTGGCGGCAGAAAGAAGATGACCAAGATGCAGCGTTGTGTTGGTCTGGCTTGCGAAGCCATTGACTTGAGCTTCCTCAAGCAAGCTGGGACAATTGTTTTGCACCAGGATGTCTCGCGTGGTCTCTTAGTGGTGACCTTCAGCGCTTGCTCAGAAACGCTGGAGGTAGCAAGAGGCTTTCTTGGCTGTGAGAAGCTGCCTCCAGCCGAGATGGAAAGCTTGCAGAAGTGTACTCGGAGTATTCTTTGGAGAGCTTGTGCCGGAAGACAAGACTTTTTCGACGCGGCTCGCAGCAAGGTCGTAGCTTGCGCTCAGTTTCAACATAGAATTTGTCAGTAATTCAACTTGTTTGGGCGGGTGCTGTTTGTAATTCAATTTGTTTGGTCTCAACCAAGCATTTGAAGGCCCAGTTTCTTTTGCCGGCGCTCCCAGGAAGTCTTGGCAGCAGATGCGGCCTCCGACGAGCAGTGTGCCCTGAGGTTGATGCGGGCCGATCCTACAATCTTTGAACAAACAAAGATGATTGTCAAGGATCCTGCGCATGCCGTGCAGCGGTTTCTGAAGCGGCCCTTTGCAGCGATACCTGAGATACACGATGTTCACTCCACCCTCATCACAAGACAAGACTCTATGACGAGCACTGTTCAGTTTTCTGATGTGCTTGGGTCGGCCTTTGCTGAGTTTTGCAAAAAAAATGCATGGCAACAAGCGGATCCAAAATTTGCAGTTTCGCAAGCACAGGTTTGACAGCACCCAAAGACCAACCGGAAGATTTGTTCTCTTCACCAAGGCCTTCATTTCGACAGCGGTTTTTGCTGCCACTCACAGGAAGGGCCAAAGGGATGGCTTCCGTGCTGACAGTTTCTTGCAATACATTTCGGAACGCCGCCTGATTTTGCTGTCAATGATGGCTGACGCAAGCGATGAGGTGAGTATCTTGATCCGCTTCCTCGACAGAGGTGATTGGGACATGGCTGCGCGGAGATTCAGCTATTCGTTGGCCGTGTATCGGCTTTGTTCTTGAATGGGCAATGCAGGAACTCTGGGTATTGCGAGCACATGCTTACAACTTTGCAAACCCCTGTTTCATTCCTTTGCAGCACCGGCCCACGATCTATTGGTGGTGATCGGATATCAGACGCGGTGTTTCAAGAAGCTTTGCAGGAGCAATGTTGCGATAATTGATTTGTGATATGTTGTTTGTGTTGTTAATGATGGTCGCATGTTTGAAAATGATAGAACCTTGAAAGCAACACACATGACACTACTGTGCTGCAGGAGATGCGTGCTTGGGTAGCCTTGCTCACGCAGACCATCGATGCAGAATTTCCTGGGTTCAGTCTGATGAGCGCCATGAGCATCTTTGACTTGAGCAGTCGAAGTCGAGAGGCTGAGCTTGGTCAGGATGGAATGGCTCAGGTCCATGAGTCTGCCCAGAGGCTGTGCGCTGTGTTCACAGATGTGGCACAGCAATGCTTCATTGATGAATTCCTGGATCTGAGGCCGATTGCGATGCATCATAGCAAGCTTGCTTCGGTCAGCTCCTTTGAGTCGTGGAGGGAGGCAATCAGAAAGGTGCGCCGATTTTCGAGCAAAGTCCACCCAACTGGCAACCTCATCAAGTTGGTCATGAGGCTTGGTGCGTGGGATGGTTGCACGACCACTGGAGTGGAAAGAGTATTTGCGAAGCTTCGCAAGTGTGAGCGGTGCCTTTCAGATGAGAACAGACGTTTGGAGCTGAAGATGTTTTGGGATTTTGACCGTATTGGTTCTGAAGTCAACGCAACAGCTTCAACTATTTGGCAATCTCTTTACGGGGAGCATCGCAATGGGTCCTGTTCTCGCTTGGACAAGGGCGTCAAGAAAAAGAATGTGGCGCCCTGGACTCATTAGGCTTAGCCGTTTTTTCTTCTCAATTTGAGGGCGCTGCTCAATCATTGCATTGTCAGGATTCTGCCGGGACCGAGAAATCGTTCATTGCCAAGAGGCGGCGTTTGGCAGCCGCAGGCCCTCGATCTGTTTCAGATGTGCGGGAAGAGGCAAGACTTGCAGCCGCAGATTTGATCGATGGTTCAGAATCCATGCAGCAAGAGATCCTGTTTCAGCAGCAAAAGCAGTTCAAGAACCGGATTCAAGGCTTCCTGGATGGGGTTTTGCTTCAAAGTGAGATCCCCGAAAGCATGCAGGAAACAGCCCAGGCATTTCTGGAGAAGCAGGAAGTGAATGACAAGAAGAGGTTCCGCGCCAAAGAACTGCAGTGCAAGCAGCTTAGTCGATCCACACCTCAGATCCAATCGATTCACAAAGTTTGGCTGGAGGACGAGTCATGGGCCGAAGAGTTCAAGACGATCGCCGTCACTGCTGATGCTGATGAGGCGTTGTTCTTTGCAGTCAAAGATGCTGCCAACCCTCCGCCCTTGGTTTTATGGACTGCAGTGCTCCAAGGCGGATTCGTCATTGATCTTACCCATCTTCGGTACCAAGCAAAGGGTTGTCCACAGAAAGTGAGGGATCGTGGTGCAACTTTCGCTTATGACCCAGCCGTCCGAACCAAAAGGCACCTGCTGGTATCGCCGAACTTCAAGCAAGGTTGCCCAAGACTGTTCCAGGTCGTTGAAAAAGCAGTCAGGTCCAGATTGTCAAAGTGGAAGTTGCTTGACTCATGGGACCAGTTTGCTGAGAGATGCGTGAAAGATGGTAGAAATTCTTTCAACATAATTTCTTTGGGTACAGCTGCCGAAGCAAAAGCTCTTAGCAGCAGAAGAAATGTATTTAACAAGGACGGATTTTTGAAGTTCCTCCGGAGGGTTGCTTGTGTGTACAATTTCAAGTGATTTTGCTGGCCACGCTGCGCAAGGGGTTCGCCTGCGTGGCCCCATTTCGGCTCAGCAAATTGGGGTGACAGCGACGAGCAAAAACAGAGTGCTCACATACACAAATCAAAAGCATGCGAAGTATAAGGCATCATGTTGTTGTGCTGAGTAAGCGCTCCTGCATTTTTTACAAGAGTTTGTTTGGTGCTGAGGAAGCGCCTTTTACTTGTTATTATCTACTGGTTACTTGTGCTGAACAAGCGCGGGACTATAACACCCTTTTCCCATGATCATTGCAGTGGTCATTGCAGTGAAAGCCGAGGTGCTTGGGTTTTGCCGCCCATCGCAGCGCAAAGGCTTGGAGGGCTTGGAGGGCGTATGCTGTCAAAAGAGTCAAAAGGTGCTGCGTAAGCGCTCAGTTTTTTTCAACTGATGCATCAGGAACCTTTTTGTCCTTGTCGTTCACGCTCATTGGCGTGGTGCCAGGGGTGCTGAATTAAGCGCTCAATGCGCACCCTCATTGACATGATGCCAGGGGTGCTGAATAAAGCGCCTTGCTGTTCCCGCATTCACCTTCCGGGGGGAGGGGGGGGAGTTTCAGTCACATTTGCAAAGTGATTATACCTGCTAGATTTTGGCTGCAGAACCGTCATGGCAAAGAAGGGTCAGGCGAAGGCGAAGGGTCAGCCGAAGGTGAAGGCGGCTGCAGCGGCCGTTGCTGTGGCAGTGGCCGCCAATGCTGAGGCTGTGGCAGCTGAGCCAGTTATGAACTTGGCGAAGCCTTCAGGCATTGTGGCGGATGTGAACCAACGCCACCTTTCCAACTTGGAGGACGCTTTGCAGGCCATCATGGCTCATCCTCTCTTCAGCAACATCATGCACGAGACCCCGCCCAAGATTGACAAGGACGCTGCAGACAACGAAGGTGGAATGCAGGCTGGTTTCTGAAATTCATGGTCACTGGGATCTGAAAATTTGGAATCGTAATTTAATTTCCTAGTTTTTTTGATTTATTTCCAATGCCACGACTGACGGTGTGCAGCAATTATAACCACCGTCCATTCAAGAACTTGATTTTTAGTGTGTAATAGATTATGATTATTACACATTTACTGAAGAGAGACGACATATCAATCACATGAACATACTCTACAGCAAACAAAAGCACCTTTGATGCAGTTAGTAAGTTTCAAATAATAAATACACTGATCGCGCGCACGAATCGTGCCCACTGAGGTCTGTGCATCGTGCGCGCACGCCTGTGTGTCGTGCGCGCTGGCTTCTCTATTCGTAGTAGATTGCATCGTGCGCGCCTGCTTTTCTGTGCATCGTGCGCGCGCGCCTGTGTCTGAGACGGACCGGCGCGCGCGATACACAGGTGCCCGCGCACGATGTGAAGAAAAACAGGCGCGCACGATACACAGGCGCACGCGCACGATCGCAAAGATTTAGTTTTGTTACTTCAGGAAAAGGCTGCAAACTTGCCGGACCCCCTTGAGAGACTCAGGGCATCTGCCCTGCCTCCCTCAAACAGGGGTGCGCGCGCGGGGTTGCTGAGAGCTACTCCTGGACCCCCGTTGAGAGAGGCAAGGCAGATGCCCTGTCTGGCTCAAACACCCTTCCCAAGTTTTGCCGGTAGTCTCTCAACAACCCCGCGCGCGCACCCCTGTTTGAGGGAGGCAGGGCAGATGCCCTGAGTCTCTCAAGGGGGGTCTCCCAAAATTTGTAGTTTTTAAATTTGTGCTTTTGGTTTTTGTGTGCTTTTTGGGGTTGATTGAACACCTCCCTTTGCGAGGCACCATGGGACGCTCAAGACCACGAGTCAGCCTTGGCATCCACGGGAGTTTACGTGGCTGCCGGGAACATCTTCTGGTGCAACCTCCGGAGCCTCAACAGCCCCAATGTTCCAATGAGTGACAAAAGTCTTGAGCTTCAGTACAACTACTATGAGGGGACCGGGCCTGAAAAATTGCGGGAGGAGATCGTGATTGTCGTTGACAAGGGAATGAGCGCTGCGCAGTTTCAAAGGGACCAGGTTCAGGGAAACTGACGAGAGTTTCACCGGAGGAACTAGATCATTCCCTGGTGATGTACGTTGCTGATCTTATCAGAAACGGGTCGGACGATTCGACGCTGCAGTGGCTTGTCTCCTCTTTATTGCAATTTGAAGTTTTCCGACTTTGATGTTCTTAGATGTTTCCATGCGGCTTTTTTCAAGTGCATGTGCTTTGAATTTATGTTTGATTGTTTTTCCCATGAAAGTACCTGTGGTGCTTGAGGCAATGGAAGCAAGTAATGCTGAATGTCAGCATGCGGGTCGAAGTCACCACCGGCTATGAACAGCGTTTCTGGAAGTCAGTCAATCTTCGCCAGAGATACGCTGGTACTTATGATGCCCTCACCAGGTCCACCATCCAGCAGATCTACGAACTGGTGAAATTTAGGGATGAGTTTCAGCCTGGAACTCGGCGTGAAATCGCAGAGGCTTGGCAGGCGAAGGTCACGGATTTGGGCACAATGGTTATTGAGGGTGTGGACTTCAGCTTTGTGGACTCCGCCATTAAGATCCACGACCGCATGCTGTGCTACCCGGACGCCTTCAATGCCATTCAGAAGATGGAGATGGAGTTTGGCAAAGCATCCTGCCTCAACTACATCCGCGTGTTGGAGGTGATTTGCATGAAGGGGAAGGAGCCAGAGCAGTTGTGGATTCTCAACACCATCTTGGACTACATCTTCCAGTTGAAGGAGATCAACAACCGGGACCTCTCAACCCGCGCCCTGCAAGGTACATCGAGCACTCGTGGGTTGCTTGATGTCTTCCTCACCAAGCGGAAGATGATGCTGTGGATCACAGATCACTTGGCCTCGAAGAATGTTCCGCCTGAGTGGATCGACGTGATGAAGGATCTCCAGACCCATGCCCAGTTTCGTTCCAAGGTTGGAGTGAGTTCTCGTGGCGGCGACGGGTCGGAGCAGCCGGATCAATCTTGGCTGGGAACGGAGCATGAAGTTATTCGGTTGGCCGTTGACATCTTGAAGGCACCATCTTGTGAATTTTTGCGGTCATCGAATTTTGTTTGTCCAAGTTTTCGCTTTTTTGTTCACTTTTTGTTGGTCGTCAGTTGATTTTAGCAATGATGTCCCTGTCAGAAAGTGGTCTACGGCGCCTTCCATGACCACACCTTGAAGAACTTGCTGAAAGGATCCTCAGCGCCTGCCGACCTCTTTGCAAAGGAGCCCTTCAGCGACATGATGAAAGACTTGAATGCCGCCCTGGATGCGCACATCCACAAGTCCAAAAAGAATGAGGAAGAGGTTGTGGCACCCACCGTTGCCAAGGACTATCTCACCACCTTCCTGCCCGACGGTGTCGAGCACTGCCCTGAGGACCTTGAGGAAGACTTTTCCTCTCACATCCTGGAAGCAGGTGACCTCGTGGACCGCTTCGTGAAGTTCATTCCAGAATGTTCCAGCAAGTCAGAGTTGGCACAGGCGCTGGATGGCACGGCTGTGTCCAAAAAGCAGCCAGATGGAACAACGGCGTTGGTTGTGATGGACACGAAGACTTGCGGTGAAAGTTCATCGCAGCCGCATCTGCGTTTTCCACAGTTTCGGAGCGTTGTCCTCAAAAACGCCGTCCAAGCTTTCTGCATGGCAAGGAACAAAGAGCAGTTTGATGAGGGTGAGATGTGCCTGCTCTTGGACGGCTCTCGGCAGATTTCCACCTCCATGATGAGCTGCTTTGTTCGTGATGATGGCGCTCACTTTGAGAACAAGACGAGGTCAGAGTTCGTGGTGCATTAAGAAATCGATGAAGGCGCGGAAGCACCTCAGCCGCGGCTTGGTGACCTGTCACGAGGGAATGCAGGTGCTTACCAACGGTGCTTTGAGTTTGCCTGCCAGTCGCACCAGGCTCTACGGTGGAAGCAACATGTCAACTTCCATCGGGCCAGTTGTCCTTGAGCCTGTGGAGAACATGTGGCTGGTGCCAGCTGAGAAGAAGAAGATCTACGAGGGTGGCAACGCGAAAGTCTTGGCTGGTGGCGGGCTCCCAGACGCTCCTGCCAAGCCCCAGCTATCCGGAGAGCCAATGACTTACCACGCAATGCCGGTGAAATTCTACCGAGAGCTTCTGCATTCATTCTGTGCAGGTGTGGTTTTTTTTGTTTGTGATCCAGATGGAGTTGGGGCGATGGCAGCGGTTTTGGCCAAAGTTCCTTGCGTGGTCCTGGTCTACACAGCTGAGCATGGAGCTGCGCTGCGGGCAAGGCTGACCGAATTTGTCGTCAACCAGTTCCAGCTGCAAAGCTCGCCGATTTACCGAGTTGCTTTGACACTTGGTAATCTAATTACTGCAGCGTGTATTTTTAGTTTTCTCTTTGTTTGTTTTTTTTTATAACAAATCGTGTTGGTTGTCGGTTACAGTGGTCATTTTGGTGCTGTGTAAGCGCCGTTTACAAGGTACTGCACAAGTGCCACTTACATCAACATTATGGTGCTGCGTAAGCGCCGTTTACAAAGGTAGGCGCAAGTGCCACTTAAATTATGGTGCTGTGTAAGCGCTATCTTCTCATTGTGTTGATTGTCCTAGGGCAAATTTGATGAGCAAGATCTCAAAGAATAAGACCGACAAAACCGACACGAACGGCGACGAGGGTCAGGCTGGAGGCCGTGGTGCTGGAGGCCGTGGCCGTGGTCGAGGACGTGGTCGAGGCAACGGCGAAAAGAATCAGAAGCGGAAAGATGATGGTGAGAGTGGCGAACGAAACCAGACCACCAAGAAAGCCAAGACAGATATCATCGATGCTTTGATCAAAATGCAGGATGACAAGGACGAGGAAGAGGCCGACGGTCCTGAGGATGAGGACTTGCCAGCGTGAAAGCTTTAGAAAATAATACCAAAGAGTTGTTGCCAAAGATCAGCTCAAAACTTGGGCTTGGAAGCACGGTCAACTAAATTCAACTGGAGCTTTGCAGCAAACAATACACAATGCAATGCAAGACTGGTCAAACAATACCGAGCAATTTGTCAGTTGACCGGCCCGGCCATCTCCGAGTCAGTCCCCCAGAGACTTTAGGACCCTCAGGTCGCAAATGCACAAGCGAGCTGAAAAAAAGAGGTGCTGAATAAGCGCTTTTGCAGCACTGTTGAAACATAATAAAACAAACATATCATCTACCGGTGGTCCCAAGCGCTGGGCAAGCGCTTAAGAAACAAACACCAATCATCGAAATTCATTCTTGGATCTTTATCTTGTTTAAGTGACAGGCGCTTTTTCAGGTCGCCTTCCTGGTTGTGAGGCCCAAGCCTTGCCCACCGCCAGGTCGCAACGCTGTGGTGACGGTGATGAAGGCCTGAGGGGTGATGGTGCAGTTGTGCAGTTGTTAAAAGTTACCTTGGTGCTGAAGAAGCGCTTTCGCAGCACCATGAAGTTATTTGGAATGTGAGCTGTTATGTTAATATCATTATACCTTAGTGCTGAAGAAGCGCTTTCGCAGCACCGTGAAGTTATCTGGCACGAGAGCATTGTTAATATTATTACAGCTTAGTGCTGAAGAAGCGCTTTCGCAGCACCATGAAGTTATTTGGCATGGGAGCATTGTCAAGATTATTATACCTTAGTGCTGAACAAGCGCTTTCGTAGCATCATGAAATTATTTGCACATGGTGCTGAAGAAGCGCTGTGACTTACGCCGCTTTTGCAGCAATTGGATCAAGATGGGCAAGCGCAAACGGTCAGTTCCTTTGACCTTCGGGTCAGCCTGCTCGGGCATTTGTTCTGAGCTTTTTGCGGCAGAGATGCTGGGCCTGGAGGTGCGCCCGGTGTTCGCCTGCGATTGCAACCAACATGTCACGAAGGTGAGCCAACATCTTTGGAGCCATGAACAGTACTTCAACAACGTGTTTGACAAAGAGTTTCTTCGGGATGCTCCTACAGTGGACTTCTTCCTGGGTGGGTTCCCTTGTCAGCCCTTTAGCCTGCAGGGCCTAGGGCAAGGAGTGGCTGATGAAGCGAATGGTACGGTGATCTATGAGCTGTTGAAGTACATCAAAGAGCGGCAACCCACAACGTTTGTCTTGGAGAATGTGAAGGGGCTCTTGACCCAACATCCACAAGTGCTGATGGAAATTATGAAGCACCTTCGTGGCTTGAAGGTGACGGGAACCAGAAAGCCTTTGTACACGGTGCTGTGCAAGTGCCTGAATGCCCGCAATCACGGCTTGCCTCAGAACCGCGAGAGAATCGTGGTGATTGGGATGCTGAACGCCAAGAAAACCTATGACTTTGCTTGGCCCATGTCTGCCCCTAAGTCGAATTTGATTTCTGGAATTGCGTTTTTGTTGTTTATCCCTTCGCTTATTTATTGGAACACAGCTTGTTGGTTGTTTTAGTTTCCACCGTTTTACACTGAGGTTGAGATGCAGCCGTTAACCCGCTTCATCAACGACAAGGATGTGGGAGATGAATCAGACTTGAACAGCCTCAACAAAACTGAGCTGAACAACCTACATGAGTCCTACCAGAAAATCCGTGCTGGGGGAGGCAAACCAACCCAGGGCTTCTATGTCGTTAACCTGGGTGGCACATCCTCGCACTACAACCTGGGTTACTTGCCATGTTTGACAAGAAGCCGCTGTGGGAGCCGTGGGTACTGGTTGAGTTGGTTGAAAAGGAAGATTACTGCGAAGGAGATGTGGGCGCTTCAGGGGCTGCCAAAGAAGGTGTACCCGAAAGATGTGGTCACAGAGACTCAGTTGGGCTACATTGTTGGGAACGCAATCCCAATTCCGCTTCTGGCCAATGTGATGAGCAGCATGTTTGACGCCTGCCCGTTGCATTAATTTAGGCAAGACCGCTTCGCTTCGCGAAAACGGTTGGGTGAAACAAGTCGGCAGTCCATGAAACAGTTTCTTGTTTTCACGTTTTACATCCTCAATATCGTGAAGCAGCTTCGGCCCCAACAGGTCTGCAGCTCCGCCTCTGCGGTGTGCCGGGTCACTCAGCGGCGGCGGTGCAGTTTCCTGTCAAGCTTGGCCACGGTTGAGTATACGGACTCAGGGTTCAGGTCCACATAGTTTTGGTACACTTTTCGGGATTCGATTTGGGACCATGCCATTCCAAAAGACTCTGATATTCCAGCCCCTGCAAGTTCTGAGATAGAATGCCGCCGGCCAGAATGGCTACGGATCTTCTGGCCATTAAGTAGGTCAGGATACTTTTTCTTGAACTTTGCCACGAAGCCATCACGATGTTTGCGAATGTGCCTGGCAACTATATCCTTTGTTATCGGCTTCCCTTTTCCTTTCCCTGAGGCAGGGAAGACATACCCTGATTTCGGCCATTTCCATCCGGTTCCGCCTGTCTTCTTCCATTCTTTGATCATTGCCACTGTTGATGGAAGGATAGGTTTCCATATGGCTTTATGCTTCTTGAACTTGTCCAGCCAAACACGGTTCCTCCTCAAGTCGACGTGCTCAGCTTTCAGCCGACAGACCTGAGTGACTCGAACACATAGAGACTCGATCAAGCACACAATGATATAATACTTCAACTCCGCGTAGGTCTTCAAGTACTTTGTCCATTCTTTCCATGGCTGCCCCTGCAACGCGTGAGCGCGGCCGAGCTTCTTCCCCATGTTTGTCCACACGCTCCAAGTCCTATGTATTTAACTTGAATGTCATAGGCTCGCGTTTGGGCTAGTAATAATGCTACCATCATGCTGAGGATCTTGGGAACATATCGGTGCTGAGCAAGCACCTGCGGAACAAACCTTTTTCGCCGCATCATGTACCTTTCACTAGCTTGGTGCTGAACAAGCGCCATTTTTTTGAATTCCAGCCAAGGATAATGATGGCGCTTGCGCAGCGCCCTTACGTGGCAATTTTGCCAAGATTGAGGTTCGAGATCAGATGTCGTGTCATGTTGCTTCACTATTTTTTTGACTAGGTGCTGAGCAAGCGCCCACAAGAGCCCAACCAACTAACTGGTGCTGAGCAAGCGCTTTTTCAGCACTCTGGTAGAAACTAGCGATTAAACACTCCGGAACTGAGGCCCCAGACGACGGGTCCATGTCTGACTGGCCAGCCCAGAGCCCAGAGCCGCCGATCCTGCAGGTTCCACTGTCGCAATAATAATAGTAATAGAGTGTTTGGATCCCTTTGCAGTTCAGTGCTGGAAAAGCGCTTTTCAGATAAGTGATACTGGTGCTGAGGAAGCGCCGCTGAAACCCACTTGTCAAACTCATTGCCGCCTGCTGTTTTTCCATCTCAAGATGGAGTGGGGCGCGGACAGGTCTGGGCCAGGGAGTGACGGAGGGCTCGGCAACAGCCGCAGCAACCGGCAGAACGCGTGCCGCGAGCAGCGGTTGGAGAGGCGGCAGCTCCAGCAGCAGCTCCAGCAGCAGCAGCAGCAGCTCCAGCAGCAGCTCCAGCAAGCGCAACAGGACCTGGCCGGCTGCAAGCACGAAAATGAGCAACTGCAACAGCAGATGCTGCAGTCAGTGCCGCAAGAGCAGGCGCAGCAGTTGCAACAGCAGTTGGCACAGTCGCAGCAACAGGTGCAACAAGCGCTGCAGCAAATCCAGGAACAGCAACAGCAGTTGAAGACGGCCGGGCAGCAGCTGCAGCATGCAGCGCAGCAGTCACAACAGCAGCTGCAGCAGGCTCAGCAGCGAATCCTGCAACTGCAACAGCACTTGCGACAACTGGAGCAGCAGTTGCAGGAGACACAGCAGCTGCTGTCGCAGGCAGTGCCACAAGAGCAGCTCCAGCACTCAGAACGGCGGCTGCAGCAGACCGGGCAGCAGATCGTCCAACTGCAATGGGATGTGCAGCAGCTCAATGACCAGAGGAAGAACCTGGAGGACATCGGGTCGTGTGCTGGGTTAAAAAAAACTGACGTGAGTTCATAATTGCCGTGGTGCTGCACAAGCGCTACTTACATGGTTAAAACATGTTGCTGGTTTTCATTTTTTCATATTGGACCGGTGCTGAATAAGCGTCGGCGCCAAACAAGCCTAAGCACGGCCATCCTGCAGGACCGCTACCACAGCTGCAAAACGCAGCTCCGTGAAACGCAGATGAAGAACCGCCAGCTGCTGGAGAAGATGGATGAGATAAAAAAGAACCAAGAGGAGAAAGACAAACAAGAAAAGGAACGGAAAGAAGAGAAAGATAGGAAGAAAAGAAGGAAAAAGGAGGAGGAGGAGGAGGGGGGGGAGTGCGATGGCGAGCCCCCGAAGAAGGAAAAGAAGGACAAAGGAGGAGCTTCACGGAAGCAGAAAAAGACGAACGAAAAGAATGAAAGCAAAGCGGATGAGGGCGACGGAGGAGCCTCAAATAAGGAGGAAAAGAAGAAGGCCGGCTCACAGGACGACGAAGAGAAGAAAGAGGATCCGGGTGCCAAGGGAAAGGAAAAGAAGAAGGAGGATGAGGGCGCCAAAGGAAAGGCAAAGAGAAAGAGCTGAGGGCGCCGGTGAGCCTGAGTAGAGCCCGCAACGCCAGTCCGGGTGGGGTCCAGAGCCAGTCCAGTTTGTGAAAAAGCGCAATCAACAAAGACTACGGTACCAACAACCACCAGTTCAGTGCTGTTGAGGGGACCATGAGGATTGAATCGGATGTTCACTGCTGCGATTTCGGCAACGGACCTACCGTCACCACGTTTCAAGGCAAAAACTTGCCAACGGCATCTTCAAATGCTACGAAAAAATGCTGCTTTCCGGTGCTGGACAAGCGCTGCAATTCCCCACCACCGAGTCGACTACCACCCGTTGATTTTCTATAGGCAGAGGGGTTTGTCCAACGCCTTTTGAGTTTCCGGGTGCTGAAAAAGCGCTCAGTTCCCAACCGCCGCAACTAACAGGTTTTTACCAGGTGCTGAAAAAGCGCCGAGGTTGCCAACCACCCCAACAGGTTTTCCAGGTCCTGGTCGCTGCGTTGCCAAGGTCCCGTTGGCATTGGCGCTGGGCCTGACGTCTCGCACTGCGGATCTCAGAAAAGGGTTCGGAGAAGGGCATGTTTTTGTATTTTTGATACCTATCATTGAAGGCCATAGGCGTGAAATATGGATTGCTAAAATTGAAGTACGGGCTTTGCGCTGCGCGCAAAAATGTTGCGGTTCAGCTTTTTTACATGTAATTTTAGCTTCCCCGGCCGCCTTTTGGGTCTAAAGGCGGCCCCCGAAGACTATTTTAAGCTTTGCCAAAATCCCATGGTTTTTGCAAGGTTATTTAGCCCTGGGTCCACAAAAGCCTCAAAAATGCAGGGTTTTTCACCCTCGAACTACCATGGACCTTTTTGGGGTTCTGATTTTTGCAGGGTTATTCATGCCTAGGTCCACGGAAGCCTCAAACATGTGGATTTCTTGATCTGGACAAGGTGTCTTTCCCATATTAAAAGCTGCATTTGTGCCCAACTTGTGGATTGCACCAAAAGATGAACCGGTTTGACAGTTCACTAACAGACAGAAATCTTTCCAAATCTGGCACCCTCACGGGGGTGCCAGATGGCAACCCCTCAAGATGAGTGCCAAAAAGGCGGCCCCCGAAGACTATTTTAAGCTATGCCAAATCCATGTGGTTTTTGCAAGGTTATTTAGCCCTGGGTCCACAAAAGCCTCAAAAATGCAGGGTTTTTCACCCTCGAACTACCATGGACCTTTTTGGGGTTCTGATTTTTGCAGGGTTATTCATGCCTAGGTCCACGGAAGCCTCAAACATGTGGATTTCTTGATCTGGACAAGGTGTCTTTCCCATATTAAAAGCTGCATTTGTGCCCAACTTGTGGATTGCACCAAAAGATGAACTGGTTTGACAGTTCACTAACAGACAGAAATCTTTCCAAATCTGGCACCCTCACGGGGGTGCCAGATGGCAACCCCTCAAGATGAGTGCCAAAATCAGGGGGACGGTGTCGCTGGTGGGACCTATTCAAAAATGCAGGTTTTCTGGATTTTTTTGGGTTAAGCATGGGCATGTTTTCTATAATGACTGGTACGAATGACCCATGTCAATCAATGACAACGGCCCCGCAATCATGTATGTATGCACGGGCTGCGCCCTTCACATGGCACGCAATGATGAAAATTCAAGGGTTCATGAACATACAAGTTGGTTCTAAGAAGTAGAATAGGGTTCGCGTACTGTGAATAGTTGCCTCAATGAAGGGTCTTCGGCTCCTCTCTTGGCCAACCGCTTCAACGTCAAATTTGTTCAATCATCCATACCAAACAGTTGTTCAATCATCCTCAAATGGGTTGATGGTAAGTAAGCGTGTGTTTACGAACATCTGTTTTTTCTTCTAAAGAAATGGCATAAAGAAATGGCATGGTGCTGCGGACGCGCCCCCCAATTCTATGTAATTACTTCTTGAGCTGAAAATCAAGATGCGCATCCCCTGGTATTGCAAACTTCACTTCAATGTCTTGGATTGCAAATGATTTCGTTGTTTTGCATTCTGGTTCCCACTGCCATCAAGTTTGGTTGCGTTCGAAACTGACTGTATCAATACTTAAGATGAGTGCTGAAAAAGCGCTAACAAATGATGTTTCATGTTTCATGACGTTAGTTCCATGATGTCCCCAAAAATAATTGCTGGTTCCATGATGTCCATGCACTGGCGCTTATGCAGCGCCAAGCAGATGGCGCTTACCCAGCACCATCTGCTGGCGCTTGTGCAGCACCAAGCGATGACGCTTACACAGCACCATCAGCTGGCGCTTATGCAGCACCCAGCCCGACGCTTACCCAGCACCAGCTGCTGGCGCTTACACAGCACCAATTCGGGTGTGCGAAGGGTCTTCCTAAAAAAATAAACAATCCATAAGATCCCAGTTGTTTGTCCGC